GAAGGAAGGAAGGAAGGAAGGAAGGAAGGAAGGAAGGAAAAAAACAAAACTTCAGTGAAACTGCAGAAAACTCTGAAACTAATAGGAATAATTAAGGTATTTGATATAATGTAACGAAAGGTACAGATGCTTCCTAAAGTTTTATTATTCTTATAAGAAGTTGAGGACAGAGAGTATAAGACAACAAGGGGTTTCGGATGTAAAGGGTATCTTTAGTAAGGTGCTGTACCTGTTCATTTCAAAACTAACTATTCAGGGTTAGATAAGGTTTTATGCAACACAGTGAAAAAGAAAACTTTATATATGTATTTGTGCCTTTGAGTCAGTGTTGACTCCTCGCAACCATCTAGACAAGTCCCTGCAGTTTTCTTGGCAAAGTTTTTCAGAATTGGTTTGCCATTGCCTGCTTCCTAGGACTGTGAGAGAGACTGGCCCAAGGTCACCCAGCTGGCTTTGCACCTAAAGCAAGTCTAGAACTCATGGTCTGCTGGTTTCTAGCCTGATGCCTTAACCAGTATACCAAACTGGCTCTCCTTTAAAAATATACAAGTAGTCCTTGACTTACAACCATTTGTTCAGCGACTATTCAAAGTTATGATGGCAGTGAACGAAGAGACTTACAACCTGTGCCCGAAGTTACAGCCATTGCAGCACCCCCGCAGTCACATGACCAAAATTTGGGCACTTGGCAATCCACCCATACTTACGACCACGGGGGCATTTCATCTCCTCCCCTTCGCCTATCTCCCCCCCATCTATGCCCTTTTGTCCCCTGATGCCCTGGGCTCCGCCACCCCAGCTGGCCTTCACTGTCTTCTTGCTGGGGCTGGGCTTCGCACTGTGGAACCAAAAAAAAAAAGCCAAAAGCACCAAAAGCAAAGGGGCTTTTCGGTATGCCGCGGCTTAGGGGCTGCTTTTGTCTTTTTTTTTTTTCCACAGTATGACCCCCAGCCCCAGCCTGGCCCAGCTGCCAGATCGGGCACGCCTCATCAGCAGCAGGAGGAAGACCGTGAAGGTCAGCTGGAGTGGCGGAGTGCAGGGTGGCGAGGGCGAC